TTTATTTTGAAGAGATAGCCTTTAGATGACAATTGGTCATCCACTATTCTTACTCACCAATGTTCTTACACATTTTAGCTCTACCTCACACTAAAATAAAAACAAGGTGAGAATGTCACTGTCATTAATTTTCCATTTTGGACATTCTTACATATTTGCATGGTATATAGATTTTTAAAGGCCCTGTATGTGATTTTATTTTATTCTCTCTAAGAAAAATGCTTTTTACATTATATATTGTGCAACAGAGGAGGTCATTTTATTGAAATAAATTACACATATGCAGGAGTTCAGGCTTCTTTCTGTAGAGCCTCCAGTTTCCAATCAACCACTGAGAGCGTTTCCCTGAATTTGGACTGGAAATTGGCTGTAGTACTCCTAGGCAGGTATCTTTTTTTCATTACTTTTGTTACAAGATGTGGCCATTATTACCTTCACATGAGTGGGAGGAACGTTTCTCAATGGGAGAAAGATAGGGGGGAGGCTTACTCGCGGTTCAAAACTGTGCAGAATCAGGTACAGCTCCTTTAATGTTCTTTATGTAGTGTTAATTGCTTTTATTATACATATATTTATATACATTAGGATTAAACTGCAATACTTGCAAAGTTTGCTTATAGCCCAGACTAGCACCTCACACATAAGGGATGTCCCATGTGAATCATTTACTGTTTAAGTTGGAATTTATCCTCTTTTAAAATTTAAGGGTTATTAGATTTTGAAAGGAGGGCAATCGTGAAAAAAAGGAATTGCATTAAACTTAAAACAAAACTCCCAGTTCATAGGCTTATATTGATTCCACCGCGTCATAAAAATATATGACAAAGCCCTGTTATGTTTTTCCCAGGCAGTCACATTTAGTGTGTACCTCTTTTGTTTGCTCAAGCAGATTTGGGCAAGAGATCAAACTGACTGACCTGTTGATAATTGATATAGCATTTTCTACAAATTGTTAAAATCATGTTATCTAATCTAATTGAGAGTGGGATCAAAATGCTCTATCTCTTTGATTAATGCAGAGGCGGTTATCTTTCATCAGTACTTGTCTAGGCAGGGAGGGGTGGAGGCGTTTGTTGGAATCCAATTTGGACCGGGAGCATTCAATCAAACAATATCATGTTGCATGATTCATAATACCAATCAAAGACCCCCGGACAACCTTGTGTACTGCATGTACCTTAATTTGCAGTTGTGTAATCAGGGGGGTGAAATTTAACATC